GAAAGACCTGCAGGAAGCCTGAAGAACCGTTGAAGGAGTCCATTTGAAAAGATCACAAGAAAGTCTGGCTCCTTGAAAGCAGAGTGTAAAGAAGTGGCAATGACCCAAAACTTTTGCACAGTACTTTAAACATCTAAATTCTGCAGGTACAGTTCATCTGATGCTTGAAATGCAACTGAAGCAAAACAGACTTTAAAAAAATGCTTCACATCTACAATGCGTATTCATCATTCTGTGTTTTTTAATTAAAGTAAGACAGAGGTATACACCATGTCTGCCCACTGCTGTTAAACTTTAGAGAAATATTCCACTTTTACAAATCACACTTGGCGTCCATGGTGTCCAGCAGTTGAATTTGTGACTTAAACATTTATGAATTGTGTTTTCACTCAGTCTCTCTACATGGATGATGTAAAAATCGGATGGGTGACGGCAGCTTCCTTGACTATTCAACTCAAAGGGAACTTAAATCCTTTAGCAGCTAAAAGGAAAAGATATTTCCCCCCCAAACATAATTCAAATTTTGTGGCAGACACAAACGTATATATTTCACGTCAGAATGTATGCTTTTATTGTGAAAGGGACAGATATAAGCAGAGAAGACCCACGGTTGTATTTCAGTTGTTTTTCTGATTTTGATGTGGGAAGACGTCGAGAATAAAGCGAGACTCCAAATATTTTTCGTCTCTTTCTGCCGACTTCCACATTGTTGACCCCGACGTGATCTGAACACGCAACCTTCTGATAAACATACATTTTCAACATAAACTGATTCTAACAGGCGTTTTTGTCCACAAACTGTTTTTTTTTCTCTGAGCAAATTTAAGAAAGCTGAACAATTGAAGGACAGAATCAGAGGTGAAACTGAAGCTAAAACCGGACAGTTAAAGATCTGAGAAACTCCTCTGGTCCATCTGCAGCACATATTACTGATGCATGGACCCATGTTAGCTGGAGAGGTTATGACTCTCTGAGTTCCCTCAAAGTAAATGTATGGAAGAAAGCAGGAGCACCAAACGTACGTTTGAAGAGTGTGAGTGAAGCACGGGGCGTATGAAGTCAGGTCAGTTTTTAGTTTGAAGTATAACTCATGCTTTAAAGCTCACAATGTGTGTTGAAATCTGAACACACACAAACACGCTGACAACCGGCGGTAGTGATCTCCTCTGGTCCGGCTCAGGCCTCCCCAGAGACACTGAAGACTCGACAGAACTGAACCCACACTGGCGGACCCTGACATCTCTGTGTGTGAGCTGATTATATCTGGATTGGGAAATGATAATCTGAAACACCTGTCAGTCACGGGTGACTTCTCCCTTACCATTGGAGATGTTGTGATCACTTAAAGTGCTGCACAAATTTGATTAAAATTTAAAGAAAATCAAGACATGTAGAACACAAAGTCCAGTTTTTATTTCTTCATGTAACCAGGCTTCTGCTGTCCTACAATAAAAGGGAGTCTCAGCCCTTCTAGAAGATCCATTTGGTCACAACTGATGAAAATTCACAATGTTTGGTTTATGATTTTTTTAGGTTTTGAAATTGAGATCTGTTTTAGTTTTTATTAGCTCAATTCCAAAGTCTCACACACACACTATAGTGTCTAAAGTGAGGTTTTAACGAGGTGCTGTTCTAATCTACTGGAATATCATCAGCACCAAAAACCTAAAACGACACTTTGAACCTAAAAAATATACATTTTTACTCATCTGAAAAAGCAGAGTGTTTATGGATTACCTTTCCCAGTCAAAGATGGGATGTTGTTGAGTGACTTTTCGTTTATAAGAACAACATTACAGACAGCCATTGGCCTGCTTGGATCAGGGGTTTTACTATGTTGGTTTTACTTTTTATGTATGTAGCAGTATCTGTGCTCAGGGTTCAATGCTTCTTTTGGACAAAGGTGACAGGGTACTACAGGAATACTTACAGATTATTTACAATGTATTCATGGAGATACTTACTGGGTACATGGGGTAATTACAGTGTGATTATGGGGTATTTTGAGGCTATACTTACAACGTACTTGCAGGGTAATTACAGAGTTTGTACAGGGGTACATACATACATACAGATATACTCGCAGGGAACTTATAGGGGTACTTACAGGGTACATAATGGATAATTACAGGATGCTTATGGAGGTTTGTAGGGCTACTTACAATATTTCTATGGAATACTTAGAGAAGTATTTACAGAGGTTTGTATGGGGGTACTTTCAGGTCTCTCTTGTAAATGAGTCCTCGAGGCTCAATGGGATTTACCTGTCTAAATATAGGTTGAATTAACTTGCAGGGTACTTTTGTTGCTACTTACAGGGTACTTAGATACCCACTTAGCACTTACATAGTGCTTTGGAGCTACTTACAGTGTTTTTTATGAGGTACTTACATGGTACTTACAGAAGTATTTACAGGATTTATTTTTGGGTACTTCTAGGGTACCTACTGGGTATTTTGGGGGCACAATTTACTTACAGGATACCTATGGGGTTTGTTCAGGGGTACTTGCAGGGTACTTACAGGATACTTTTGGAGGTGCTTACAACATACTTACACAATACCTATGGGATTAGTATGTGATGTATTTGCAGGGTACATGCAGGGTATGTACAAGGAACTTACACTGTACGTACGTGGGGCAGCTGCAGCTGAGTGGTTAGAGCAGTCGTCCTCCAATGCAAGAGTTGGGCGTTTGATTCCACCAGCAGTCACATGCCGAAGTGTCCCTGAGCAAGACACTGAACCCTTCATTGCCTCCGATGTATGTCCCTTCGGTGTATGAATGTGATAAAGCACTGATTATTTTTTGTAAAGCTATAGTAGAATGTTGTATGATTGGGTAACTGAGGGCACAGGTTGTGTTATAATGCAATTTGAGTATCTTGATAAGATAGAAAGGCGCCACATAAGTACAGTCCATTTACCTTTTACATATGGGGTAATTACAGGGTGCTTATGGGGTTTGTAGGCCTACTTACAATGTTTTTATGGGATACTTACACAAGTATTTACAGGGGTTTGTTAAAGGGGTATTTGCAGGGTACTTTGGAGGCACTTACAATGTACTTGCAGGGTACATGTGGAGTTTGTACAGGGGTACTTGCAGGATAATTTTGATGCTATTTACAGGTTATGTATGAGGAACACTGTATGTACGTTTTGATGCTACTTACAGGGTACTTGCAGAGTAATAATTACATGGTAATTTTTGGAGTTTGTAGTGCTACTTGCAATGTTTTCATGAAGTACTTACATGGTACTTATGTAAGTATTTACAGGGCTTTGTTCGGGATTACTTGCAGGGCACGTGCAGGGTACTTTTGGAAGCACTTACAATGTACTTACAGGGTACCTGTGGGATTTGTACATGGGTAATTGCAAGATACTTTTGATGCCACTTACAAGTTACGTATGAGGAACACTGTATGTACGGGATAATTGCAGGGCGTTTATCATGTGCTTTTGATAATACTTATAGGGTATTGCAGGGTAATTACATGGTACTTTTTGGGGTTTGTAGAGCTATTTACAATGTTTTCATGAGGTACTTACATGATACTTACATGAGTATTTATTTACAGGGGTTTGTTTGGGATAACTTGCAGGACACTTACAGGGTACTTTTGGAGGTACTTACAAGGTACCTGTGGGGTTTGTATGGAGGTACTTGCAGGGTATTTACAGGGGACCGGGCTGTATTATGAAGTGAACTGTTGAAAGTATGACTTTACGTTGTGGAAAGTCCTTTATCTGGTCCTGATGTATGTAAATAAGTATAAAATTCTAACAAGGTTAAGTCAGATCTGACTCATGTTTTTTAGACCACAGACTTGCGGACCATAATTTTTGGTTCATAATACTGCCAATATGTTAGAAGAAAATCAAAGAGAAGTACAAGAATGAGTGCCTACAACAATCTGTAAAACATGGTGGAGGGTGTGTCATGGTTTGGGGCTGCATTTCTCCCACGGTTATTGGGGCTCTTTTGCAAAATGACAAATATCAAAGTACAGTAACAGAAAATTTTAATTCACCATCTAATGAAATGTGTTAAACTATAACTGTCACATTTCATGATCTAAAACATGCTACAAATGATGAAAAACTGCACATGCAGTATAGCTAATAGTCCCCCAAGAAACCTGGTAAAATATTTTCAGATTACCTAAAAAGTGCAAAACAGTTTAGGGAAACTGGCTTTTAACTGTGTTAAAAAGTAAGCATATGTTCAGTGTTTTTTTTTATTAAGTTCTCCTTGCAATACATAAAAAATGAACAAGAACAGTAAAAGTATGTAAAATAAGACATTTGCTTGCAGAACATGAGCCTACTTGTTCTTTTTATAGCTCAACTTTGGCCATATGGGTGAGATCTCACTGTCTGTGATCTGAATATCTGATTATAATTTGAGGCGATTTAAGCAGATTTAGAGGCCTGTGGGATTCTCCTTTTGACTTAGTGTGGTGTGTATGTTAATGTGTCTCCTGGGAAAAAAAAGAAAAGCGAAAAGGATTTTCAGTGTTAATGCATTTGCTGGTCCACCTTCAAGACGTGTTAGTGTACAAACTATAAAACAATTTCACACTGCTTCAGTATGATCCCTTTTGTAAAAAAAAGTTAAAAGGCCATAAACTTTCTTTAACTGATAATATTGCTGGATCAGCTGCACGATGAATGAGCCCACTGCCTATTGAATTCATGACCTGGGTTCTTCTTGTCCCAGTTCGGCTGTTTGCAGCAAGTTGATGTTGCACTAATTAGGCAAACATGGAAAGCACTTTGCATGATCTTTGTTTCCAGTCGGCTGCATTAGGCCAATTCTCATCCGTGTCACTTCTAAAGATGTGGGATGCAGAGAGGAGGAAGGGAAAACTGCTTACCAGACAACCTTTATGTGCAGTTGTGCATTAGAGGAGGAAGAGCAGGAGGAGGAGGAGGAGGGAAGAAGGGCGGCTGGCTGTGCTGGGCAGAGGAGAGGAGCAAATGCGTTGCAGACTGAGAGGAGGAGGAGGAGGGCCTACAGCTATTGTTCATGTCCTCCCGTGAACAAAGGGCTCATCGGGGTCCGTATGTAAACCCACAGCAGGCTTCAGCCCACTAACAAGGCCTCATGCGGGACAAAACGTAAACCATCGTCTCCCGCAAATTCCGGCCTTATTTCTGCTGCGGTGTCGAAGATTTCTTTATTGATCCACTTGGAAAGGACGTATTGTGTGGGTACGTCGCGTCCGGTGGGCCTATCCGTTTTTACGCACGGAGCGTACACGGTCTCCCATCACGGATCTGTAAACACCGATTCTCTGATTGGACTTCTCTGCAGGTAAAGGGTCGCTTTGTTTGCCCCCCGTCTCTCCAAACACAAACTTTTGACAGTAACGTCCAGTTTCGAAAGTGACCGAATGTGTTTTACGAGCACGCGCGGTTGTTATTTCCGTCCCGGTGGGGAATTTAAAGCTAAGGCGTTAGCAACATGCTAGTAGCTAACTGGCTTTCTAACACTAGTGTGTCCTAAGGCCTACAGCGTTAGCCTAATATCTCAAGTCCCTCCCTCCATGTTTACATGAATGTGTTGCTTGTGTGAAATAATTAATAGCTGTTTTGTTGAAAAGATCAATTGCTTTCTGCGATCTTGTAATGTTAGCCTAGCTTGTGGCTAACTGCGCTAGCTGCCTTTCTAATTGCCTTTGTAGCCGGTCTGCTCCACAGCATAAAAGGTTTTGCTTATAAAGCTCAACCACAGGAAGTGTGGAAATTGGATTTTTAAACTGTGCACATTTAGTGAAATAAGCATCTTTAAACTCTCTAAGTTGGTTTTAGTTTATCTTGTCCCTCCTGGTAACTAGTCTGGGTTGGCACATTAGATTATAAAGTTTGTTTGGGTTACTGCAACCTCCAGTGCATGCTGTTTACTTCACATTTTGTTAACAGAAAAAATATTAGAGTGATCCAAGTTGTTACAGATTGTACTTGATTTACAATGTTGCTTTTGTGCAGAATTGAATTACAAACAGGTGTACTGTACAACAAATGTGCATGGGTTAATCCTGTAATGAAGCAGTTTGCAATATTTGCACAAAAGAGTGACGCTGCACTTGCATGATAGACGATTGTTCACGAGAGGAATGAATTGTGGGAGAAAAACAAACACGGTTTTGTGTATTTTATGGTTTTTTTTTAAGTGCATGCCAAAAGGTTAAAGCTCTAAAAGCATATGTCCTGGCAGTGAGGGGTCTGAGGTTTCTGGTTCAGGAAAAGTGCAGGTTCTGGATGGAAGCCAGAGGGACACAGACTCAGCCCACTGGACTGAACCCAGCACCATCCTAAACAAACCGGATAGTTGTCGAAGTGCTCAGGACAGATTAATGACAGCTTAGTTCTTTACACAGAGACATTTGTGTAGAGACCGTTTGAAGATCAAGAACATAAAATGTTGAATGTTTTTGGCACTACTTTCGCTGTAAGTTTGACCGTTACCCAGGAGGATATGAACATGTGCAGTATGTATATAATGTGTTGTTTGCTTGTAAGGGAGAGAGGAACATCACTCCCAGTGGAGGAAGTGGAATCCAACTGATGTGATTGTGATTGACTGTCATTAACCGCTAACAGGGGAGGAGAGGAGCTAATGGAGCTCTCAACAACTAATGGACACATAAGCATTGATTATTTATTTATTTATCAATCATTTGGGCGCTGCATTCCGCCTATAGCATAGTATTACAATCTAAACGGCTTGTTTCTGCTCAAAAGGAAAAACAGGACTGCAGATGGCTGGGCGCTTTGTATCTTTTTTTCTGCAGAAAATATGAAATTCTTGTTTTAAAGGTCTGTATTCATTTTGTTTGTTCACCTTTGAGTTTGTAACTTTTATTATAGGCTGTTTACTGTCTAAAATAACAGACGGCTGGAATATATAATGGTTGGTCTGCAGGTTTTTTTGTTGTTTTAGACAGGCTGCTGCTTAAAGATGAGATTAAAAAAATAGAAATAAACCTAAATAAGTAGTTTTAGGAACTTTAACCTGATGTGTGTCGTTGTGACAAAATAAGTCGGGAAGGACTTCCTCGGTCCATCTAACAAAAATGTGTCTCGGTGGCTGCTTTCTGTGTTTTTCTTTCTAGAGCGTTACAACAACAATATTTGATTTTTACGAACTGACAAAAATATATTCTTTTGACACAATTCTTTCTTTCATAGACGACGTCTCACATGTATAGCATTCATCAACAAGACAGGGACACATTAAAGAGGCGGGGCTTCACCATGGCGATGGCGAGGTCGTGACCTGTAGGCCACCACGCCTGGATGGCCTTTATTGCAGAGTCGGGGCAATTAAAGTAAAATAGTGATTGGAGCCGTTTGTTGGAGGCACCAGCCTGTTTTATGAGCATACTTGTAGAGAGCACATGGTCTGTTAGTATCTGATATTTACTGGTTATTTTATGGAGGGTAGATGGGGCAGCTGTTTCTGTCCCAAAGTCTTTTCTTTATGTCACATTTGATGTGTTTAGGAACGACATTTGCAAACCTCAAACTGATGCAAGCACAAATTCACAGTTTTATTTATGTTTATTTATCTTTTTATTGCGGCCCCAGCTGAGTTGTTATTCAACATGCACTGAAGGTTTTTTTTTTTGTGGCTGTAACTTTGTGGAATAATGCACATTTCCTTTCCAAGGATGACGCGTTTCTCGTGAGGAGTTGAGCTTGAATATCAATCATGCTTTTCTGTAATAGTCTGCCTAGCCTTTTCTAATATAATTAATGATTTTTCTTTTCTCTTCCAGGCTGTTCCTCCAAATCTTTCAAGCTGTACTCCCCCAAGGAGCCCCCCAACGGTAGCACTTTTCCCCCTTTCCATCCCGGCACCATGCTGGACAGAGACGTGGGGTGAGTTGGAGGTCTCCAATTTGTTTATTTATTTACATCGTTTTTGCTGTTTGGAGCTTTGCACATTCTCTGTTTATATATGTGTAAAAAAAAAAAAGCCTAAATGAGTTTGGTTTCTATAATCACTGTAGTCTGTAAAATGTGTTTTTGTTTATTAAAGTGCACAGCAAGTGATTTTTTTTATACTTGTTCAGAAAGTAGTCAAATTTATACTCTGGTTGATTTTGTTTTACAACGTAAATATCTAATTTCCTCCTAATTGTTCACTCAAAGACTTGTTAAATAAAGCGAATAATTCATGTAAGTGTGATGTTTCTATAAAAGTAATTTCGCCATTACACATAGTAAAATCCAGAGAGGGTCGTAAAGATTATTGCCAAGCCATTTTCTCGGTTTTAATAAAATTAACTATACCATCATAGCTTACTGAAACATTTATCCAGAAATGGTGCTAAATATTAGAATGTTTTTGTGTTGTAAAGGCTTTTAATACATTCTGGAGAAACATTTTCCAAATAGATTGTGGGAATATCCTTTTATGTATGAAATGTAATTGGTTGTGTAAAAACCGATTCTCGATCGTCTATATCTAAGCTAATCTTAGATTCTTTTTGCTGAAAACTTTATTTGGTAGCCATTTTAGTGCCCTGTAACATCATTCTGCCACCAGCCAGTATCTTTTGGGCCTCGGGGACTAAAGTGGACGTGATTGTTTTGCTGAATGAGGAGTTTATTTTACTCAAGTTGATGAGCGTGGCTCTGTAGGGTTGTGTTCTTTGCTTTAGAACGTGTCTGTTTCCTTAAGTTCAATTAACTGCAGCTGCTAAATGTCCGTGTGAGAATAATGTTCACACCCTTATTTTATGATTCAGTCTGTGCTGTTTGTCGTGTCCCGGGTTGTAAAGACTGACCACCTTTCTGAGAAAGGCGTATGAGCACTAAAGCTGAAAGCAGTAATTCTTATTTTATGTTTTTTCTAGTCCTACTCCAATGTACCCACCCTCATATCTGGATCAAGGAATAGGGTAAGGCTGCATTACTGTTTTCTCTAGCTAATGGGAAAATGTAGATAAACCTGTTGGATGTTTTGCTTTTATTGTTGAACAGCCGTAATTTTGTAAGCCATGATAAGTTTAAACTTTTGAAATTAGATATTTTTAACTGTTGAGCTCTCATTTTTTTCTTCTTCTTTTTTGTGTTGAATTCAGGAGGCACACACCATATGGAAACCAGACAGACTACAGAATTTTTGAGCTCAATAAACGGCTACAGAGCTGGACGGAGGTCTGTATACGCAGACGGTCCTTTAAAGAGACACAAAAACCAACCCAGCTTTCACACATTTAGTTATCTTCTTCTCTCAACATGTAGGAGTGTGACAACATCTGGTGGGACGCGTTTACTACAGAGTTCTTTGAAGACGATGCTATGTTGACCATTACTTTTTGTCTGGAAGATGGACCCAAACGTTACAGTAAGAACCAATTACAATAAGCCCAATGTTGTTAGACCCCACTGAAAAATATAACTCAAAAATCCTTCTGCTCCTTTTGTTTTTCTGTCATTCCAGCAATTGGCCGAACGCTAATTCCGAGGTACTTTCGGAGTATATTTGAGGGCGGTGCCACAGAGCTTTACTATGTCCTGAAACATCCCAAGGAGTCTTTTCACAATAATTTTGTCTCCCTCGACTGTGATCAATGCACCATGGTCACCCAAAATGGAAAGCCCATGTTCACACAGGTGTGTTTTTATGACCAAAAAATAAAATACAATTTAAGAAGTTTATGTATTTTGCCAAAGTGTATGAAAAGAAGTTTTACTTTGCACTTTAAATATGCATTTTGTGTTTATGTGTAAATGATAATGTGTGACTTTAGCCAGGAGAGCGCTCGCCTGTTGAATGGTTTTATAATTTACCAGCTGCATACTGATCCAGTCCTCTGAACCTCTGTAGGTGTGTGTAGAAGGACGCTTGTACTTGGAGTTCATGTTTGATGACATGATGCGGATAAAGACGTGGCACTTCAGCATCAGACAACACCGTGAGCTCATCCCGCGCAGTATACTGGCCATGCACGTGAGTCACCGCTCTGGAAACAGGCCTCCGCATAGATACACATGTTTTTATTTAAAAACTTATTTTCTGCTAATATCTCAGGCCCAAGACCCACAGATGCTCGACCAGCTGTCCAAAAACATAACAAGATGTGGCCTGTCAAACTCCACCCTCAACTACCTCCGAGTAAGTGAGGTTCGCATGCAGCGTTTTAGAAACTTCCCATGTTTTTCTGTTGTTGTCGTTCTCACACAAAAGGCTCCGAACAGAACAGTTCCTGTTTTTAATCATGAACAAATAGTTTGGGGAATGATGAAGGCGGTGCTTCTTGTAACCGCCATCCCAAAATTGATCATACTGGTATTTTTGTAGGTTCATTTAGCAAATGGTGGTCAATGTGTACTTGATTTTTATATATTTTTGTTTACTTTTTAATTCTTTAGAAACTTTTGTAGAACATCATTTGATGTTTTGGTTGTCGAATGTTTAGGACAAATAGCTTCAAACACAATTTTTTTTTTTTTTTGCCATTATTTTTTAAATTGGTATTTTTACACTGAAACACCTATAATTTAGAAGGGTAAGAATATTTTTCAACTGGCATCTTTCTTTAAATTTTCAGACAAGCACACTTTGAGCATTGTTGCTCTCATATTTTTTCTTAGCTTTTGCAGACACATTTAATCACATTCCAGGCTTTAGATTACTGTAAAACAAGCAAGTTGGAAAATAAAAAGTTCTTGTTTTAGTTTATAATTTGATAATTCTTACGAATTCTAAAGCTTCTAAATATTTAGTGTCATCTAAAAGATAAATTTACATTATACTGCATATCAGCGTCAGTCTAATATATATATATATATATATATATATATATATATATATATATATATCAGCATTTCTCAGTAAAATATCCTTTTTATGAGATATTTAACAGCTATTGCAGTTACAGTTCATCTTGTTACTGTTAAAACAGTTAAGACTTACCTGCCAACTTACTATTGCCAGTGATATTTTGCTGACTTTAATGTTCTCAAATCATAAGATATGTGGCTTCCAAAAAGGATTCTTGCTTTTTGTCTTAATTTGTATTTGAAAGACGGAAACATTCAGAAAACTTTATACTTTTAGAATTGTATGGGCACGGTGATACCACAGACCCGTTAAGACCATGTGGTGCGTATCATGATGTCTTCATCAGTTGTCTAAAAACAGCAGCTTTCTGGTATTCACTCAATAAATCATTAAAACCTCGCTACTTTTAACCTTCACACATCTTCGTTGTATCCAACACGTCCACAGCTGTGTCAGAGCCACAATATGTGCGCCGTATTTACCGTTCACATCAGTCCCGACACTGACAGGACGTCTAATGAGGTACAAAGTTCTCAAAGTCACAGATAAGGACTCTTATTAGGTTGTTTTACGTGAGCGCTTATTTACTCCTACAACAGATCATAATTGTGTAAAATCTTGAAAAATAAACATTGGACCCAAATTTTCTTCCAATAAATTTGTTTGGGTGCTGTAAGAAAGTTATAACTAATGTTGCCGTGTCTGAGCGATGTTCCTGTCTGGGCTTTCACTTTACTAAAAAATATAATCTGTTTATTGCATCTAATGTTCTCAACTTAATGTCTTAGGAGCACCGCTTACATTGATTTTACTGCATTGTTTACTGTAAATAATGCATCTAAACAAGATGTTGCCTTTAAATGTATAGAATATTATTTTAGTTTCCTGATTTTTAGTTATCTGTAAGAATTACTGTAACTGCAGTTGTGTTGATTGAGAATGTATAAGAGGAGTAAACGGAACAGAAAACGTGAACATTAAACACTCATATGATCAGCTGTATTGTGCAGTTGGAATAGTTTTATCTTTTGAGCATAAATGTAAAGATCTGTAATTATTTTAGTCCCATTTGTAATTGATTCTGCCTTTAAAATGCTGCTGACACATGCCACACTGCAGCTGGTTCTGTACAATATTTTTATTATTACAGTTTTTCTACCTCCATATGTGGCTCAGTTCTTAAAACAAATCAAAACTTCCAGATCATCTGCTGATTCCATTTCATTTAATGAGAAATGTTATATATTTTTTGTTGCATGGAAATGAGTTTTTATGAGTTTCTTTTGTTAAAACGAGTCAATAATTAAAAAGGCCAAGACGTTGGTAAAATAATTGACAAATTGTTTACCGTATGGACTTAAGAGAAGTTTAAATTGTCACCGCTGGGCTTGTTAAGATGCCAGATTCACACCCTTACCACACATACTCAAATCTTTACTTTCTCATTGTTTTAGTATGAATTTTGTTGATGTAAAAAAAATTTTTTTAGAAAAACAAAACGAGACCAGAACTAAAAAAAACTTTAATATTCATTCTTCAACACTTATTACAATGAGCTGGCCTTTGCAGATCATTGATAAGCAACTATAACAAAACAAATAAAACGGTTACATGTTTTAATGCTATCAGCTCCATCCAGCTCAGCATTGTGAGCATCAGCTACAGTTTGAGAGAACAATGATGTCTGTTTTTATAGTGTTTATATGTGTGTGAAGCAAAGACGGCACTTTTTGTACTGATTTTGTTGCAAATGTTAGTTTAGTTTGTGTTATTTGTCCAAATATGTGATCCTGCCTGTCTGAATAAAGTTTTAACAATTTGAAAGAAAAGTCAGGTTCATATAAACCTCCTCTTATTCTTCTTAAACATAAATGCATAATGAAAATGTTGTTCGAGCTTCGTGTTTTATTGATCACGCTGTCCGATTTGCAACGTTCACATCATCAGTTTGAGATTAATTTCTAATCGGTATCTTTTCTCTGGCCCCTCCTCCAGCTGTGTGTTATTCTGGAACCCATGCAGGAGCTGATGTCCAGACACAAGACATACAGCCTCAGCCCCAGAGACTGCCTCAAGACTTGCCTCTTCCAGAAATGGCAGAGGATGGTGGCGCCGCCTGGTAGGTGCCCGTCCTGCTCAGAGCCACACCTGAAGGATCAGTTCAAGCGTTTTGGGTAAACGTTTTCTCTGTCCCTCCTCTGCAGCTGAGCCTTCAAGACAGGCCCCCAACAAAAGGCGGAAGAGGAAGCCGTCAGGTGGCAGCACCATCAGTGGTGGAGGAGGAGCTAACAATACCAGCAACAGCAAAAAGAAGAGCCCTGGTAGTGGCTTCCCTCTGTCCAGCCAAGTTCCAGTGAGTACAACAGTGCCACCTAGTAGCACTACATACCTACTACACCACTCGCATAGAAACAGTGGTCATCGTTGAACTGTTTCTATTCAAATAAATAACATGACTTGTAGCGACATGTTGGACAAACTGTGCCTATTCTTGTTTCAAAAGAAGTCAGGAAGCACAGCTTACTTTTACTGCACTGTCTTGGCCTAATCCAGGGGTCTGTAACCTTTACAATCAAAAGAGCCATTTCTGCCCCTTTGTTCACTAAATTAAACGTGTCTAGAGCCGCAAAACCTGCTGCAATTGTCATTATCAACTGGTGACACATGGGCCACTTTATGTTAGTTAGAGGGGGCTTTTCTGGCCAGTATGCGTGAAATTATAAAACTAAAAACATCCAATTATTGTTAAGATTTATTGATATTTTTACATTTTGAGACAAAAGAAAAGACTGGATTTTATCCATCCATTTTCTTTACTCGCTTCTTCCTTTTCAGGTTGCAGGGCGTCACTGGTGCCCATATCAGGTCGCAAATCTTATCACAGAAGACTGGGTTCTTGTAAAGAAAAAAATATATATTTTGCCAGTTTTTTAAAAGCTAAATCAATGAACTGTGCATGCTGTTTTTTATTGGGAAGAAACTGAGTATCCTACTTTGAAGAAATAAAGCATAAAGTTACAGAGAGTATAATTTACTCTGTGTATTAGTACTAGTATTGAGATATTTGCAAAGGAAATGACAAGCAAACTGCTAAAACTAGTCATTTTTGTTGTGGGTATAACATCCTATAAATTCAGTTTGATGTTAGTTTTGGTCAAAGCTTGAAAGAGCTGCGTGTGGCTCCAGAGCCGCAGGTCGCAGACCCCTGCGCTTTCACATTTGTAAAACACTTTTGACTTCACTAGATGGTAGCTGTCCTAAAATAAAAGCGGTGACATTTTCATGACATTAGTGCTAAGTCCTGCGGTCTAAAATTTGCCATCGTGTTGTGACTGCAGGATGTGATGGTGGTGGGAGAGCCCACTCTGATGGGCGGGGAGTTTGGCGACGAGGACGAGCGTCTGATCACACGGCTGGAGAATACTCAGTTCGACGCGGCCAACGGCATCGACGACGAGGACAGCTTCAACAACTCTCCGGCTCTGGGCTCCAACTCGCCCTGGAACAACAAGGCCCCCTCCAGCCAAGAGAGCAAGAGCGACAACCCCACCTCACAGGCATCACAGTAGACCGCAGAGCCCCAAAACCTCTACACAACCTCGACCCCGCTGTCACCCCTCTGCTCCTCCCACCCTACCTCTATAGCCATGACTGCAGCCCAATCAGTCCATATTCTGATCTCCAAGCCCAACAGATTCACTCACAGATAGGAGCTCAGTTCAACTGAGCAGAGCATTATTTTTTCCAGTGCTGCTGCTTCCCAACGTGTAGGCGCCGTCTCAGACTACTGTTTCAGTTTTCTTCAACTCGTATACAAACGCCCCATCAGCTGTTGCTAATATTTAAAAAAAATTAGGACTGCGAACGGGTTGACGTGACTGAAAAGCAGCAGGATTTTCTTCCACAGCAGAACTGAGTACACTAACCTATCATAACCGAAAGGGAGGCCATGCGGAACATGTGGGGGGGTTAAGGTGGTGGTGAGCTGCTTAGGGATTACGTGGTCCACTCGTCGTGGAAAAATGGCTCTAGATTGTGGTCCGCTCTGCTGACGCACGAGTCATGATGTCTGAATAGAATATATGTGTGCATGCGAGTGTGTGTGTGTGTGTGTGTGTGTGAGATTTGCGAGGAGAGGAACGTGTGAGCTCGAATGTGGCTTTGCTGGAGCAGACGGATCAGAATTTAGCGTCAGTCTGTAAAACCATTGAAATTAACACACTAGTACGAAGGCTGTTATGCGGCACTAGGGCAATAACACACACGCGGACACAAATACACACAAATGAACGCCACGATTGAAGGATTTTGAGTGCCCTAGTGCCCATTAGACTACAGTGAATGCAGTCTTTCAAATGGAAAGCATTTACAACACACGCACACACACAAGTTACATTTTAAGAGTTTTTATACAGTATATATATTTCCCTAGAATGTTTTTTAATTTGTATTAAAACGCCTTCATTTCAATTGTTTTTTTATTTTCTACCAATACTAAAAAGCTACAGACCAAGGAGCAACGCAGGACTTCTATTCCCCCCTCGCTTTCTAAAATATATTGTTTTTATCTTTTGTGTTTATAAAAGAAGAATAATTTAGTGTGGCTGTTTTTATTTGGTCTTTTTGTTTGTTTCCTTGATTTTATTTTATTTTTTTGGAGAATTTTTGTGTATTTGTGCTTGTATATTTAAGGTAGTAGCAAAGTTCTGTCTGACTGTAATAAAATGTATTCTTAGATTTACCTAAAGCCATTCTGATCTAATGTAAAGAAACAAAAATAGGAAAAAGGAGAAAAAACACTCATGAACCCGTCCCCTTCTCCCTCCCTCCTGCTGTCTTTCCCTCTTTTTTTAAAAACTTGTGTAAATTAAATAAAATTAAAAAAAATCCCCTGGAGGTACAATTACACCATGGCGATATGATTTTAACTTTTTAATTTATTTGTAGAAATTTCAGGAATTCACAAACACTTTTCACCTTTTGCAGAAAGTAATTTTTCACTTAAGATCACCGTTGATGAATTTGAGTTTCTCTGTAACCTTCATGCTTCACTGCCTTCGTTCGTTTTGTTGGTTTTACGTCAATGATTTTTAACCACACGATCTTGTTCATAACCATCTCAGTCTCGCACCAGCTTCACGTTCTGTTCAGTCTGCAAATTTGGTTGCAGTGTTGAGTCTGAAAAAGTCTACTAGAAAACTGCTGAAGTTCTTTTACTGGTTTGTACATTTCTAATTGGTTGGAGTCGATTCCGACAACATTTATGATTGAGTTTGAATGGTGACTTGTACCTTCTCCGAACCCTGTAGAGAAATCATTGTTTGATATATATATTTTTTTGATTTGGTTAGTTTTTGCCCTTAATAATTAATGTATGGTACCAATAAAAAGATACATTTTCACTTAAAACAAACTGTGTTGAGAATTTTGTAATTTGGTTTGCTTTAAGAAAGGAACGCTGTTATAATAGTCCAACAAAGTTCAGTTTTGTCCTTTGGAAGGTTTTTTTTTTTTTGTTGAAACATTTTGTCCTTCATCCAAAGGACTTCATCAGTCCGAGAAACCACAACAAATTCAGTCCCACAAGCAGCACACCCACATAGTGGACCAACCAGTTTCCTGGTGGTGAGATGGTTTCTGGGGCCCGCCCTCTCCCCTGTCGACTCCTGAGGTAGCCATGGCCAAAATGGTTCAAAACATCAAAGTTCATACTCGGTAATCCCTGTAAAAAAAAATCCAAATTCAGTCAAGTGATCTGGGCGCGTTTGTTTTTTTTTGTGGAGAAGTTTCATCCAAAGGACTTCATCAGTCCAAGGAGCCACAACAAACTGTTGCACAAGCAGCACCCTCCCATAGTGGACCAACCAGAAAAGTCGATGGAGAGGGTGGGCCCCAGAAACCGTCTTCTCACCAGCAAACTGGTTGGTCCAATATGTGGGTGTGCTGCTTGTGGGACTGAGTTTGTTGTGGCTCCTCGGACTGATGAAGTCCTTTGGATGAAGGACAAAACGTTTCAACAAAAAAAAAGAAAGAAACCTTCAGATGACCTGGCTGAACTTTTTTTTTCTTTTTTCCCCTGAATTATTGTGCATGAACTGTGATGCTACTATAAAAGCTTTTAAGATTTTCTTGCCATTTCTTGTGATTATAATTTAGTTACAATTTTAATTTGGAACAAAAAAGCTTAAGGGTGTTTATTTTCTCAACAAAAAAGCTGTAGTCCTTAGGACATTAGTTTTCTTTACCTGCTTGTTCCTGTTAGGGTCACCTGTAGCTGGTTTCAGGACTTTTCCTCACATCTAGTGACATCTAAGAAAACCCAACTGGTAGAAACTAGCCCGCACACATGTGGAGAACATACAAACTCCATGCAGAAAGGCCACAACCTTATAGCTGAACCAGCTTTTCACCACTCGGACAACTTCACAGAAATATCCAGAATCTGTTGAATCCAAGGTCGTGGTAAGGTCAAGAAACGAATGGAATGCTCCCTCTGTGGGGAAGTGTCATCTTGGGAGGAGTTCAAGCATCTGGGCATCTTGTTTACGAGTGATGATGGGATGGAGCAGGATATATGGATCGGTGCATTGTGGACTCATCCTCAGTAATGAAGACGTTGCGTTGGTCAGTCGAGGTGAAGCTAGAGTTGAGTCAAATGACAAAGCTTTTGATTTACTGGTCCATCTTATTCCAACCCTCATCTATGGGGCAGCTGTGGCTGAGTGGTTAGAGCAGTCCAATGCAAGAGTTAGGGCTTTGATTCCAACAGCAGTTATATGTCGAAGTGTCCATGGGCAAGACACTGAACCCCTCATTGCCTCCGATGTGTGTCCCATCAGTGTATGAATGTGATAAAGCACTGATTATTATTTGTATAGATATAGTAGAGTGCTGTATGGATGGGTAAATGAGGGCACAGATTGTAGTAAAGTGCTTTGAGTATCTTGATAGAAAGGTGCTATTTAAGTACAGTCCATTTACCTGTGGTCATTAGGTTTGGATCATGACGACAAGATCCAGGATACAAAGCGACTGAAATGAGTTGAGCTTCCTTCAGGTGGCAGGGCTCAGCCTTGGAGATGGGGGAGGAGCTCGGAGAGGAGCTGCTGCTCCTCATCATCAAAAGGAATCCGTTGAGGTGGTTCAAGCATCTGATTAGGACGTCTCCTGGACACCTCCCTTTGGTGGTTTTCTATGATTGTTCCATTGGTATGAGGCCAGGCAGACCCAAAACTCAGTGGAGGGATTACTGTACTGTATGCATCCTCACTTCGGCTGGGTACCTTTCTGGGGGGAGTTTGCACGTTATCTCCGTGCATGCATGGGTTTTTTCCGGGTACTCTGGTTTCCTCCCACAGACCAAAAACATGCATGTTAGGCTGATTGGTAACTCTAAATTGTTCCTAGGTAAGAGTGAGAGAGTGAATGGTTGTCTCTATGTGTCCCTGTGATGGACTGGAGACATGCGCAGGGTGTTCCCCACCTCTCACACAGTGACTGCTGTACATAGGAAACAGTGACCCCCGCGACCCGAAAATGAAGAAGCGGGTAAAGATAACGGATGGATGGTCTGGGAACTTCTTGGAGTCCCACAGGAGGAGCTGGGGAGAGGGATGTCTGGGCTTCTCTCCTGGATCTGTTGCCATCTGAACTTTATCACAGATACGCGATAGGGGATGGAGATGTTTAAACTTTTTAAAATCACATTTTTCATCTTGGTGAAATCTTTATGTAAACTTGTAGTATCTCAGTCATTCATAGACATATAGTCCTAACAAATTAAATGAAAGCCTTTTTTTTAATATACTTTGATTCTTGACTATGTTTAGCTTCTCATCCTAGGAGCATCTTCAACCCATGGCTCAATGAGGAACTTTTCATTATTGATTAATTATTTACAAATTCTGCATATCAAAATCTTAAAAATTATTTACTGAAATTTCTTCATTTATTACATGGCCAGGTAACAAGCTAGTTTTGTTCAGGTGATTATTTTCATTTTCCCATTGCAGCCTGTGCTTATTCAGACATGTTCTGCAGCACGGGTCCCAGATTTTGGAAATATATTTCTTCAAATGTAATGACAGTAAAAATACCAACATTAAGTTGTAAGTAAATAGGATAAAAAAAATCATCTTGTTTTAGAGGACTGTACCATCACATCTCTAGCTTTTATTGCCTGCCAGATGAAATATGTGACAGTCGTTAAAGGTGTGCTGTTTGAATGCAGCACAAACAATAAGACTTTATTTCAAGAGGAAGTCAACAAACTTGTAGGGTGACGGTACAGTGTATGTATTTTCTTTGGTATATTAAACATTAGTTTTACTGCAGAGAACAGAAGGAACTTCCAGAGCAAAACAGGGCAATTTTAAATTAGCTTGTAAGCCGAATGAAAAGTAAATCACTGTATTTATTATCATTCTGAGCATACGCTTCCTTTATGCATGAATATGGGCCTATATAAAGTACTAGTTCTGTTCAGCTTTATAGTCAAATGCAAAATTTTATCCTGAGCATAACACATTTTTCTGTTTATCTGTTTTTCTTATACGTTGAATGTGATAATTCAAAATTTCTTGATATAAATAATTGCAAGATTTTAATTAAACCATAGTTATAAAAAACATATAACTTTATTTATTTAGTTAGTTATCTATCTATATACAGTATTTATTTATTTGTGAATTAAACATGTTTGAAGAAAGCGCGCTAGGACCCTGAGGAGCAGCAGGAAGTAAACGAGAGGCATCGTTGCCAGAAATCCAATATTTATCGTATTATATAGTTCTGGGTCTTTACGATAAATGATTAAAAATAATAATTTTCAAAGCGCTTTAATATAGGATAGTTTTGACATTTACGTTTAACAAAAATAAATAAAACGATCACAACATCAACAAGGAAAGCCCATCTTCAAATCCGCGCGTACGAAATTTTGTGTCCAAAAAAAAAAACCAGTGGTTTTTAAAGTGACAGTACAAAGTGTAATTTTTAATCTGGCAACCTGGGACAGCAGTATGCTAGCAAGTACTGCTATCACAGGGATTCATGATCCGCATCTACACCATAAACTTCAATGCTTTAATTGAGGTAAGAATACGTGACGCCCACCTGTTTAAATCATATAACACTGTCATTCTGACAATAATCACGACCGGGCGTTGTCCACATAGCTATATCAGTGCTAACATCATTATTTGTTAGACACAAGCTAGCTAGCGTTAGCCGCTGTCGCGATAAACATTTGTTATTCGAAGAAACATGAAGGGAAACACGAGACAAATTAATCATCGTTGTATTCCTACTGGACAACTATACTAATTGGCAACCAGGTCGCTGTCTGTCGTTTTACAAATGGAACCAGTACCAGTTGACATCGATTGCTGCTAAAGCTACGTAGCTATCGTCAATATTTATACCATCAATATCAAGTTGTAATTAACCAGGGTGACTGGAATTTATTCAGAATTAACTGGATCAATTATTTATTACTTGTAGCGTTTTACCGTGGTAAACGGTGACAGTCTAAAGGTCAAAAAGGTTGTAAGTTATCCTGTTTCTTTTAAAATACTTGATTAAAGTTGTAGCGTTGACCACCTGTCCTTAAAAAAAGTCATTTTAGTGAGAGTTTTAGAGGTCTTTCTGAGTATTTATTTAAGGTATTATTAGTAAATTATTTGACAGATATTTTAATCTTTGTGTTGCTGAAGACAGACTGAAATAAAATGTGTGTATTTAGGAAAATTAGGTTTTCTGTTTGACTAACTTGCAGTCATTTCAGTTTATTTGTATAGTGTCAATTTACAACAACAGTCAAGGCACTGTACAAAAACATACAGGACATTATAAATAAAGTGATCTAAGGAGGCCAGCAGATTTAAATCTTCACTTTCATCTCCCATCCTGAGCAGCACTTTTTTGTTCATTCAGCCTTTATTTATACCGGTTAATCCCATTGAGTCTCGGGGACTCATTTACAAGAGAGATATGATTTTTTAAAAAGAGTGACGACAACAGTGGACAACAAAGACAACAATCATAAAGAATGCGTACAAATTGAGATTTTTTTTAAACAGGTCAAGGTTGAGAGCTTCAGATCTTTTTGCAAGATATTCCAGGAAACAGGAGCGGACTAGGAGAATGCCCTTTTGCCTAGTTCAGTCCGCATTGAGAGAACACTGCAGGTAATAATGTCCTGAGAGCACATGCTGTACTTTTCATTATTAGTACACTTTAGAGACAGTGGGAAGGAATGACTCCCTTTTAATAGGAAGAAATCTTTAGCGGAACCAGGTTTGTGATGGGCGGCCATCTGCCTCAACATGCTTGGATAATAGACTCTTTGATAAAACAGTTCTGCAAAATGGAGGCACAGACCAGTTGGTCTTTCTTTTCCATCTGGCCGTTCATAAATCACAGATGAATCGGGCAGTACGGACCAAAAGGGGCGTGGAGCAGAACTCAGCTGTTAATGTGGAGCGCTGCGCAACACATTAAATGTGTGACGAATGTTTCCCTCGTTTTGGTTTTCAAAATGTGACAAGTCAACTTACTGTGGCAATCCTCTATGTGGTTACTTATAATTTTAAACTAACTAAAACGTTGCAGTGCATCATCATCTATATCCTCTCTAAATAACTCTGTTTGTTGTTTAAGCCCATGGCTGGACATTCACACACTTGTCATCAGTTATTATTTAGCTGCAAAGCCAGCTTACTTTTTCCACGTCTGACGTTTTGCCTCTGTTACTACTTACTACCTCACTTGCAGTACAGAAAGGCACCAAGGGTGGGCACTGGGCAGGCTTTGAACCTCCTCACCACCATGGTCTGTTAAGCAGTCACTGACGTGGTCAAAAGGCGTGTCAGTCCTGGAGCGAGGTGTCTTGTCAAAAAGCCTTTTGAGTTGTTACTGGTATACATGCATCCATCCATCACATCTGTAGCTTCCAGTAATAGGACAGTGTCTTCATAAACAAAGAACTGCTCAGGAACAGCTTGAGTTTATAATGAGTCCAACATTGGAACTAGCTTCCAAACTCTCCTTTTCATTCATCCTTTATTTATACAGATTGAATTGAAACTTCCCTTATTTCAGTTTAATCAGTCCATGTTGTATTGTAGAAATATGTTCTTATTTTCATTATTTATTTTTATTAGGGGTGCACCGATTTCCTTAATTTTGTGAAATCAGAAATCGTCCGATACACGAGAAGCTGATTTTACAGATGTTTTTAGTTTTAATAACAACTGTCTAAACTTCATTTATATTTCAGAGCACTACCTCATGGCCAGTTAAAACAAGTTTGCATTGTTTCTATGATATTGTTCAAGGGTATGTTTTTCAACAAGATAATATTGGAAAATTGAAGGTGCATTGTGACCTTATAACACCTGACAGTGTTGCTTATTAAAACAAAATCGGAATTGGCAGGTCAGACTTTTTAGAAATCGGTGATCGGCCAGAAAATTGCAATTGGCGCACCCCTAATTTTTATATTAATATAGTTTTATACAAACTGTCCTGTTTCAATTTCAAAGTGCACCAAATCGTGTTGTATTCAAATACACTGACAATAAAGGAACCTTACTTTACCAAATGGATTTACAAGCTCTGTCTTGTAAAAGACTAGATCATAATAAAAACACTGCTTATGTTTAAAGTGTGTAACCAAGTAATTTTATAAGCTCATGATAATGTTCATCACCATGCCAGACATCACAGGACACCCCCAGATGTTTCCTACTGATTGGCAGCAAAGTTGACCTGCGCACCCAGTGGATTTTAGCATTTTGACTCGTTAATGTATGCTCTTTTGTTTCTGTATGCTGTACTGCTTTCTAACTGCATTGTTCTCAATGTCTGTGCAGACCTAATCATGTCTCAAGTCGAGAAAAAGGCAGGCTTGCTAAGGAGGACGTCGTCCTCTAAAAAGCCTTTGAAAGAAAAGGTGGTTCTGATGTATGATGAGATTTTTGCTGTGAGTATCACAATGTAAGAGCTTCAGTGTGAACAGTTTTGGTAATGGCAAAGTTTTAATAATGACATTCTTGTTTTTGATTTAGAAAGAAGACCCAGCCAAAAATAATCCTCGCTTTTGGGATGAGCTGTTTCTCATGAAGGTACAGAAGAAATGCATCTTAACATTATATAAAAAGAATCTCTTCAGGTCCATATTAGCTGCAGTGGCAGTAATGAAGACTAAAACTTCTATACATTTTTAGTTTAAAGAATAAACAGAGTTGTAAAAAATAATACATGTACTTATGAATATAAAAAAGACAACAAGGAAACAGCCATTTCTGTGTGTTAATTGCTTTTACTGTTTGTATTCTAATGGAGGAAGTACTGATTCACTCAAATCAGATTTAAACAAATGTCCCACAGACTGACCAAACTGCCTGCTGTGTTCAGTGGCTGGGTTTTTATGTTAGCTGAGATTGGTAACCATGTTTTTCTCTTAATATTTTTGTTTCAGGTGAATCTAGAGTACCTTGAGTCAAAGCTGGAGAGCGTGGATGGGGAGGAAGTGCAGCGTATTCAAGACAACATCAACTCTCTGTTTCACCACTGCATCCAGGCTCTTGGAGAGGAACATCAGATTAAAGTAGTCAATGCCCTGCAGGTAAATAATAACTGAGGGTGGCTGCAATCACCGTTTGTCCTACCATTACCCAAGAATAACAGAAGCGCCCACCCCTCATGAACATCATGGCACGTAATAAATTAATAAATGTCTGTACCTGTTCGCATGTTAGCAATTCATAGCAGCTGGGAGACATGCCAAAAACCTCTCCCCAACCTCCACATGGACGTTTGTATCTAAATTTTTACCACTGATAAATGTTAATGTATCTGGAGTGCCATCACTGGCGTACGGATACGTTTGACGTGCCTGCAACCAAACTCCTGCTAGCAGAGAGTGCTCTGCTGTATGAGACCACAAAGCCTTTTCTGTCTCAGTGTGACTAGCTGTTTCTCCTGCTTACGTTGTCAGAATTAAATAATATAACAATGCAAACAAGTTTTTGACTATTTGGATATGCTAAACTTGCATTTGTCAGGAATTATATTTTGAGATAACTGCACTGTGATAAATGTAATCCAATAAATGATCCAATATGAAAAATAAATTACTACAAGAGCTGAGCTCTTTAAATTATAATCACTTTGAATGAATTAGTCATTTTGAGGCAGAAATCTGTCAGTGGAAAATAAAAATAGCAGTTTTAGGTTATTTTGTAACAGGCAAAGATCTACCTGTGTTATATTTAAATTATCTTATTGAACATAACAAAGTTATATAAAGGCAAAAACATTTTCATTGTCGAGCATCCTTAAACTATTAAACCCATAAAACTGATCTGTAATACATAAAATCAAAACATAGCAGTTACAGTAATAATTGAGTATTACTCTGATTACCATTAAATCCTTCCTGTTTATTTATCCATGCTCTTTGTCCTCATCAGACTTTATGTGCACTTTTTCGAGGCGTTCACCAAAAGAACAAGTCAACGTCTGGCTTTGACATCATCAACATGCTCATGGGCTTTGACAAAGCTGAACAAAGGATGAAGGTAAGTCTGAAATTACGTTTAATAGAAGGGATCATTGAGTAAAATATCCGTATAAAATCAGTGATGGCTGGTCCATTGAGGCAGTTGGGGGGGGGGGGGGGGGGGCAGCCCCACCTAAAAAAAAATAATAATTCGCCCCACAAAGTAGTTCCTCCTAATAAATAATATAAATTACCTATTTACTGATCTTGTTGTGTATTGTTTTGTTCTGTGTATTTTTCAACAATTTTGACAATTTTTAGTGGAATTTAAAATAATTTTTAGTGATTCATCAGTTTTTTAAACTTATTTACCGTTATGGGGCAGTACCGCTTAATGACCCGCATTCATCAAGTGGATCCGAATGTGTGGCCAGTGATCCGAACAGACTGGTCTGATAGAGTTTCATTTGAGGCATCTGATTTTGTGCCCTATGGATATATTCAGATGGTTTTAGCGTATTGATACGACCTCTACCTAGACCTGAAGCGAGCTCAAACCCAGGAAAAGCTGCAGTGAAACCTGTTGAGTCCAACAGTGGAGATATTCTGTTTTTCAATCCTTTTGGAGCAGCCAGAAGGGACCAGAACAGAAAACTGAGAACAACAGAGGAAAGTCAAAGAACAGGATATTCACATTAACGTGATAGGACCTTATTTAAGCTATTCTGTGACTTCTGTGTTCATGTGGCTGCAGTGGATCAGTGGTTGAAGCAGTGGTCTTGTAACTGTTTGTGGGTTCGATCCCCACTGGAATCTTCTTTTTGATTCGGTGATGATGTATTTTATCATTTTCACTTTTATATTATTTTAGAGTTACTTCACTAAACTTTTTTCCTCACATTTAATTGTGTTAATCTGGAGTATTATTTCAAAATTTTTACTCCAAATGAAATTAGAAATCCAATTCAAAAGCTGTGAACCTGTCAGCTGGGGGAGGGAGACCTCAGCTTCTCTGATTTATTATAACAGACTGTTTTTCACGGGACACAACCTCGACCCGGGGGAGGGAGAAAAAAAAGGCATAAACTTTGTAAACACACACAAACAACAACAATAAATTAAACATTAAGCAACATATATCTGGGTTTTTTTTCTCCACAGAAAATGTAACAAACGCAATTTGTAAAAATTTGTGTTGTTACTGATTCAAAAAATTAATGTCCGCCTCGCTAATATTCTTGTGATAGAGAGGTAAATATACTGTCACAGTATATTTACTTTATAATTTACTGTGTATTTTTGCTTGTGTCTTCTGCAGGACCTGATGGAGAGACTGGACAGCCTTCTTTGTGGAGACGGCTCAGAAAGTCTTAAAAGCCTCTGCCTCAAACTGTTGCTCTGTTTGGTGACGGTGAGAAAAAAAGAGCAACTTTAATCACAATCTTGTCTGTTTTGGAAGAATGTCTGTTGAACTGATAAAACATGCATCTGCAGGTGACAGACAATATTAGCCAGAACACCATACTGGAATATGTGATGATCAATAGCATCTTTGAAGCTATTCTACAGGTAAGAACTGGAATGTAAATGAAATCCCTGAACATTTTAATCATGCTAAATTAGTTCCTGCTTCCTCTGTAATTATTCCTTCTTTCCTTCTCTGCTCAGATTCTTTCAGATGTTTCCAGTAGAGGGCAGCATGGCTATGATGCTGTTGTTCTCCTGGCTCTCCTGGTCAACTACAGAAAGTATGAGGTGTGTTTTATGTTTCTATTTTTACTGTGTTTCTGTACATGAAGTCTTTGTTGTGAGACTTTATCACACTTTTCTGTCGCAAATCTTAAACCGATTCATGTGCTGCTGTAGTGTCCTGACACTGGAAAATGAAGAATAGATAGTCCAGAGTTTATTTTAATACAACTCTGATGTGATGTCTCTACTGTGTTGGTCAAACGTTGCCATTTCATGCAATATTGTTACGTCCTTTGAGATTTGGTGTCAGTCAGAGGATGAGTTGTGAATGACTCCCAACTACTACCATCTCAATATCTATAAGTTTCCCGAAGTTGTAGCTACTGTTGGGTTGACTCCAAATGGTAGCGAGTCAAAGCCATGTATCCTTTTGATAAATTTCTTAGTTGCATTCAAATCAGTCCAGTTGTTAATGAGAGGGTGAGTGGTGGCGCAGAGGTTAGAGAAGGTGGTCCTGTGATCAGAAGGTCGCCGGTTGGTTCGACTTCCCGGACCGACAACATCAAAATGTGGGTGGGAAAGGTGAAGCACCCACACCTGCCTCCACTTCATTTGCCCCACTTTGAGCCCTGGAGCAAGGCCCCCCTTAACCCCCACCTTCTGCTCCCGTGGGCGCCCTAAATGGCAACTCTGCTCCACACAGAGGGCTGTGGTTGCGTCAGGAAGGACATCCGGCGTAAAAACAATGGCCGACTATCTTCATGCAAGATCGTTCGCTGTGGTGACCCCTGAAGAAGGGAGCATTCGAAAGAAGAAGAAAGAAGGTTAATGAGATATTTTGCTAACAGACGTTGAGTTAACTCAAGCAATTGCCAAAGTAAAAAAAAACTAACTAATTTGACCCTATCAGTAAATGTTTACAGTATGAATTGGGGATGATTTGTAGCTTCCACCATCAAATTTGAGCTCAATTCCTGTAAAATTGACTTAATTGTAGCCATTTTTGTGTTTGCTAAGGTCACTTCACTGTGACAGCCATCTTTAATCAGGTTGACTCCAAAAGTTTTTTAGTTTAGATGTAAATCCAGTGATATTTTCATTCAAATCGTCCAGCGGTTCATGAGATACCTTGCTATTTGCTAAAAAAACAACCACACTTCTCTTGCAGCTTGATGGCTCTTGTTACTGTATGCAGAGCAGAGAACTCTCCAGAGATGAATAACTTGACAGTATTTACTGGTGATTAAATAATAACTGTGATAATCTTTGGTTTCTAGTCTGTAAATCCATACATTGTGAAACTCTCCATTGTGGATGATGAGCCTACACTGGATGTAAGTGTGTGCCGTTTCTTCTGTTTTTATTACATCGTATTAATTAAAAATATATACCACCTCATTAACTAGATTATTAAACACTGAATGCTTTTTTTTGTCCCACTCCAGGGGATGGGCATGGTCGTCCACCAAGCTCTGGCAGAATATAACAGGTAACATGTTCGTCTGTTGTGTTTAGTGCTTTAGTTTTTTGGTCCACTGCAGATTTTCTATTTCTGTTCTTTGGGATAAAAGAAAAAAAACAAGGCTTTTATAGTTGTAGTTATTTATACCTGACAGCTTTCTTTGTACGTCTGTAATGTTTTCAGGATTAGTTTGTGAAGGAGGTCTCATCTGTCTGAATGCACAGACACATCAAAGTGACGAATGATGGCTGTGTGCAGCTCAATGTTTTTATGGATGAACCGAAATGCCCTTAAATAATAAACTGGAAGCAGTAAAGGCTTTTAAATTAATCTGTGATGTGGTGCAAGTGCTAAAATTAAATGAACATAATCATCTCAGATTTTTGTGGTGTGTGGTTTATCTATTAAAATATTTTCTGTTCATTTCATCATCAACTTGTTTTTTTTCTTCTCTAGACAGTACAAGGAGAAAGAGGAAGAGAACCAGGGAGGTTTCTTCTCCACTCTCACTAGTATGGTAAGATGCAAACTAATAAAAATACATTTTTTATATTCTCCATCTAGTTTACTGACAGCTTTGTCCTTCCTCTCAGGTGGGCAGCATGTTTATAGCAGATGCTGATGAGAAACTCTCTGTGCAGTAAGTGAAGTCGCCTCAGTTTGTTGGCTACATTTTTCTTTTATTGCTCCAGTGTTTGTCACTCAGTTTGGTCAAATTTAACACTGGTGCTTACAAGTGTTTTTACAGATATTGAAGCCAAATATGTTTATTTCTTGACTTGGTATTTGTGTTTTTACATGGTTTTAATTGTGAGACTTTGTTTGCTTTTACAAATTATGTTAGGTTTAAAGGGCAGCACAGTGGCGCAACTGGTAGAGCTCTGGTTTTCTCCCACAGACCAAAAACATGCATGTTAGGCTGATTGATAACTCTAAATTGTCCCAGGTGTGAGTGAGAGAGTGAATGGTTATTTGTCTCGTTTGTCTCTACGTGTCCCTGTGATGGACTTGCGACCCGTCCAGGGTGTACCCCGCCCCTCGCACAGTGATTGCCGGACATGGGCACCGGCGACCCCCGTGATCCAAAATAGAAGAAGCGGGTAAAAGATAATGGATGGATGGATGTTAGGTTTAAACAGTTTGCAGCATTGAATAAAGTTATTTCAAGTCATTTATTATTTAAAAATTAATGTAAAATTTGATAAATTGGTGCTCGATATGCAGTAATTATCCACAAAAACAAAGAAAAGTACACTGTTGACTGCACAAACTTTACTGAAATTTAAGTTGCATATTTTCTAAATTTTTTAACTTATTTGCAAGTGACTTAAAACCTAAGGTCGTTTGGTTCAGAATGATTTAATTGTTGGTTTAATATTCATAAACAAATCTACTCCCCTTGATCAACTTTTTATTTTATTTTTTTTTTGTCTCAAGGACAAATGAGGCGATCCTGCTGGCACTTTATGAAGCTGTGCACCTTAACAGAAACTTCATCACTGTGCTGGCACAGGTAAATGCTGATATTCTGTTTTCATGTTGCCTCACCTTCTGGGTGTTTTAAAACTGAGGGGTTTTGAATGTTCTTACAATTTGAACATTGTGCCCTCTGTCCTGCAGTGAAAATGGGGATTAGGAAATACCCTCTGTCTGTCCGTGAATGTTGTGAGCTTGATAACTTGAAAAACAAGTGAGATACCGACTTCCACTTTGGTGTGTGGCTGCATCTAGGCGTAAGATAGTTTCCTTTTGAAAGTTGGGTTGCCACATCTAAATATAAGATGGCTGTCATATGTTTCATCTTTCAACAAAATGTTTTAACAAAAAGAAACTGTCCAGAGGACCTTACTTAACTTACATTTTTTCAAGTATTTTTTTCATTATGTACTAGTTTTACACGAGATGGCAACTACCATACTCTACAGACTAGAGGGAAAAATAAGTTTGTTTTTCACTCGTTTTTCTAAGTTGTGAGTTTGATAATACGTGAAAAATAACTGCACTGAGTCAAGCAGAGAAAGGAGGTGCAAAAAAACAGTTTTTTTATACCCTGCAGACCATTAAAATATTCATATACAGTAAAAAGATATGTACACAAAAGTTTTTTCATTATCGTATTTCCGTGCGGCCCAGTACTGAGCGAACCATCGATTGGGACTGGGTTAGAGCTTTATGGATGTGTTTTGCTTTTCAGTTACACAAATGCCCATTTAATTAAAATTATTTTATTTTTTAAACCATTTTTGTTTTAGCCAAATTCTGTAGCTACTGAGAACGGATCTGTTTAAAATATAATGCCAGCACCATGAGGCGATTAGGCCTATACACTTGAGTCCAGCTTTTATCCAGAATGTAAGTTTTCAAATATGACGAGGAGAAATTAATTATTTTGTGATGTTTTCCACTCTTCACATAAAGTTACATCATTTTCAATGTAATTCCTTTTCAGTTCTTCCAACATTCTGAGTCAGCTCTAATAATTACAGCATTGAGCATGTGTAAAATTTTATGTTTCTGGTCCTTGATCAGAGCCACCCTGAGATTGACATCGCAGCCACGCCCGTCACCCCAACCCCAACGACGCCAACGACGCCGCTCGGCACAACGCCGCCCGCCCTGGACAGTAAGCTGCACATTTTTACACAAATGGTGACAGTACCTGTGAATCCATCATATTGCCTGCCCCTGAAGAAAAAAAGGTGATAATGTTTTCACACTTTTATTTCTTGTTTGGGAGGTTTTGTATTGATGCTGGTATGTTTAAAAGCAGGTCTTTTTTTAGTGCCCCCAGGCTGTAACTATTAAAAGTGGTGTATTTCTGTCTAACAGGCTTTCCCTTCATTGCTTTTACCCTTAAACCCTTTTTTCTTTATAAAATATTTACTTCTAGCTTCAAACACAGATGTATGTGGCACCTGTAGGCTGACTTGCTGCTGCACCGTTTGAGCTGCAGCTCCTACGCTCTTTCCGTAGACCCTACACAGTCACAAATATGTGCGGTTGTAGTGGCATGTCATAAACATGTTTTTTACCTTCCCCTGAACCTGTAGATCTGCGGAGGAAGGGAACAGAATGAGGGTCGGTTAAGGATGAAGGAAATGACCATTTTTTCCCCTTCGTTATTCAAGAAGCAAGCAGTTTGTTTTACTGAAGAGAGATGTTTGTTGGATGAAAATGCTGGTTTAGACACAATGAAGTTATGAAGAAGTAGTTATGGTAATAAGGCAAAGATTTCACTTTCTGTCATTGTTTAAATGAGCACAACTACTTCCCAGATAAAAACAAGCCTTTTCACGCTTGCTTAGTTTTTTATGTTTACTTGGTTACAGCTGTATAGTCTTCCTATTTTTTTATATAAATCTACAGTAGTTGATATCGTTACAAAACAAGAAGATTTTATTGTTTACACTTAGTTTATTAATGTTTTCTGTTAATGTGTAGTGATGAACAACCCAGAGCTGCCTCTGGATCCCAACCTGCAGACCAGCAACCTTCTCATTACCTTCCTCAAGTATGCCTCCATTGTAATGCAGGATACTAAAGGTAAACACTCTCTTTTTACAAACATTTGATCCAGTGTCGATCAGTCTTTTTTTAAGGAATCAGCTGTTTTATAATGGAAGCAGTTTATTAAAAGAACCAATTATGTAATAAAGAACCATTTATTTTTCAAAATAACCAGTTATTTGATAAAACAACCAGTTAATAAATAATAAAACCAATCATTAAATATAAGATGCTAACCTAACATTGAAATAGTATTAGAAATGTTAGTGCCATTAGCAATGTGTTTATCCCTGAAGATTTATACACAAATCAAATATTTCATAGTAATTACTAAATACGTTAATGTAATAACTTTTCTATTAAACATGTTGATTAAAGGAATGAGCTTTGAACATCTTCTGTCACTTATTAGCAACTGTAATTTGTTTATTTTCCTCTTTCAGTCTGTTTAAAAGCGTTTGTGTTTTTGCAGATGAGCATCGACTCAACAGTGCCAGACTTTGCCTGATCATCCTCACCTGCATAGCCGAGGTGGGAACCCCTCCAGTATGAAAACATCGGTTCATATTTTCCTTCGGTCTGAATATATTTGTTTATGTTTTTTTTTGTTACAGGATCAGTACGCAGATGCCTTTCTTCACGACGACAACATGAACTTCAGAGTCACCCTTCACAGAATGGTAGGTTTCTGCTTGTGAGTAGTGAAATGTAATAAATCAAGAGGCTTAATTTGAAACTTTTCTAGACATAAACAGAAGCCTGTGGGGATTTCTCTTTTGTCTGAATATTGAGTTTATATATTTGAGTTTGCAAATGCAAGTTCCACAGGGTTACTGTAATTTCCGGACTATTGAGCGCACCTGAATATAAGCTGCATACACCAGCTTTAAAAAGGAATAAACATTTGTACATACGTATTTGTACACTTGTTATAAGCCACGTGTGTCCACGTTGTAACATGAGATATTTACATAGATTTTTTTTTTCTTTTAATTAAATACATACCAGTAACATACACAAATACGTACAGTAATTTTTTTTTTCTGAACATGGCTGGTTAAAAAATAAAATAAAAATACCGGTACAGTAGTCTACCAGGAAAAGTAATTGAACACAATCTTCATCTTCCTCCTGTACTCTAAAACTAAAGTCGTCTTCTTCAGTGTCAGAATTGAACAGCCTCAGAGTTACTTCATCACACACGTCCTCCATCTCTCTTGCATTGTCGCTCTCAACGTCACTTTCGTCTCGAGGCAAATTCACACTTGAGCTTGTGCTGTCCTCTTCATCACGCAGCAGTCCAGCCTTTTGAAACCCGTTGGTGATAGTGGATTTTTTTTTTGTCACTGCTCCATGCTGTCAGGATCTACTGGCAGATTTGAGCATAAGTTGCTCTTCGCATGCGGCCAGTTTTGGTAAATGATTTCACGCCGCTAATCATCCCACTGAGCTCAGAGTGCCATTTTAAATGCACGATTCACACGTAAGTCGAATAGCTGCAAATACTTCATTGTGCCTCCAGGGATCACATGATCACGAGACGTGTTTTGGGCAGCTAAGTAAGTGCCCAGGTGTGACGAGACTAAATGTTTTGGCAGCATGAAGCTTGTTAGCTCATAAAAATCTATAAATTAGCCACGGCATTGTGCCGCTGTGTTCAAAGCATGTGAAAAAAGTAGTGGCTTATAGTCTGGAAATTACGGTAAATATTAAAATCGGTATTGATCTATATTTAACATGCATACGCAAGTATTTCTCCGCATGTTTTAAAAAAATTTTTTTCTAACAACTCTTTTTTTTTTTTTTACTCTTTCAGCCCATGAGACACAGGAAAAAAACAGTGGGGAAAAACATCCCGTCACGCCCACTGGTCTGTGCTGTTCTAGGTAAAAACCTTTATAAAAACCTTGGTTGCTTGAGTGCTGTAACTTCTCAACTTCAGTATCATACAAGTTTTATTTTTCTATAAACTCAATAGTATTTATCCCAACATATTTAACTTACAAAACATTGTTTAAATAACTGAAAAGCAGTCACTGGCGTCATAGATTTGAACAAACGGTTTTCCCCCTCACCTAGTGCTTTTTACAGTATAGTTTACATGGTTCCCAACCATGGTCCTTGAGGAACACACCTGATTCAGTAATTTAATTACTTACTCATATTCTGGAGAAGCCTGTAAATCACCCATTTATTAAAATCAGGTGTGTTGGAGCAGAAAAACAACTAAAACATGCAAGATGGTGTTCCTCAGGTTGGGAACCCCTGGTTTATAAGCACTAGAAATGTTGCCAAACGCTTACTTTTTTTTTTACTCGCGTCACATGAAAAACATGCTTATTTAATTTTTTTCTGAAAATTTAAAAGGAATTATTTGGCCAGCTACCTAAACATAAATCTCCAGTAAATTAGAGGTTGAAGGATAGTTTTATTTGTCTGACAGCTCTCATGATTTGTTTTTTTGTCCCTCTGTGCAGACCTGATGGTGGAGTTTATCGTTACTCACATGATGAAGGATTTCCCCATGGATTTATATTTGTGAGCACATTTAATATCACACACACATCACTGTGACTCATCCAGCTAAGTTAGCCACAGTTTCATGTGCTTTTTTTTTTTTTAATGCAGACGTTGTGTGCAAATCATCCACAAACTGCTGTGTTACCAGAAGAAATGCAGGATCAGACTACACTACACCTGGAGGGAGCTGTGGTCAGGTAAAGATAACTTCTCCTACGAACTGATGCAGGGTTTTAACTTCTTTAACTTACATTTAAATATGATTTATTTTTCCATAAAGTTTGAGAGGGATTTTTGATTAATGCCTGCTTTTAAACTTACAATTTTTTCTCTTGTGTAAGAATTTTAATGTGTAAAGGACGGATGAGCTGCAGCATTTTCATTTTTGCTTTCTGTACCAGAAAAATTAAAATGTGGTTTATATTGTTTTATTGCTACAAAACATGATTTTCTTCACAAATTTAATTTTTTATACGCCGGTCAAAAGGCGGACGTATCATGATATAATCTCTGTCTGAACCTACGTACATAAACTTTCTCTCGTCTCGCCCATAACTTCTGATCCACTCAAGATAATTTAGTGAAACCTCATGCACATACGCATCATCAAAGTCAAGGTCACAAATCAAGGTCAAATTTTATACAAGGGCTTTGCTTGTCCAGGCCTTTACTATAGATTGCTGCAGAATAGCTTGTCGATGGGCATATAATGTGTAGTTATTGTTGTGCAATACTTTTGTTTTTGGCGAGCCTATTGCGATAACGTTTATTATTTAAAATTATTTGAATTTAATGCTAGTTTCTTCTGAGACTTAGACATTAAAAGTTTTCCATTTTTCTGGAAACAACCAGGCTTTAAAAGTTTTTTTTGTTTTGTTTTAAAGACTTAAAACAGCTTTGTTTATTGTATTTGTTAAGATAATTTTGATGCAGATGAAAACAAGATGGTCTGGGTTGATTACAAACTTTAACTTGCCAGTCTTAAACAAATATCTAAAGAAATGCAGACTCTGAAACTGACATGAGATTCTGTTAGGCACATTTTCCTCATCATGGCACTAACTTGCATCTGTTCACTTTTTGTCAAAGGACTTCTTTCTATAAGAGTAATGCAGAGTTTGATTTTGGATGATCTGTACAAACAGACAACAACAAATCTGTTTTGACATTTTAGTGACGGGACAAACTCTGCCTGATTTGAATGTTTCTGGTTTGCTGAGCCTTAAAAGTTTTATACATTTCTGCTGCTTTTGTGAAACAAAGCCATTTTCTCTTTAAGTCACTGCGCTTGTTGTTGTTTTGTAAATGGATTGCATCAAGGTTCGATAATGAGCCCCTTAGGAAAAAGTGATCCATCCTGAAGGTTTTTCTTTTAGCTTGGTCAACACACAGAAGAGTAACATTTCAGCCTGTAATGGCCTCATCCGACTGTGTCTCACTGAAAAACAGATTCCTCTAATCAGACCAATAATCACATTAACTCCCTGAATAACTCAAAACGTCCTCCTCTGCTGGTTGATAATAGCATACTAAGAAATAAACCAGGTGAGGAGAAATAGGCAAATTAAAATAATAGACATGTTTATCTTAATTCACTGTGTTGTTGTGAAAACTTCTGTTGGTGTTTGTTAAATTGGATGTTTTCACAAAAAAAAAGGCTTGATTTGGTGCTGAAAGGTTTCCCTCCTCCTGTGTGTCGTTATTCGTAATGAAGATGCTCGCAGAGAGAAGCAGACTCCACAGATTATTATTTTTTTCTTTAACGCAAACAACTCTTTCTCTCTTGGGCACTTTCACAAAACAGTTCTGCAGAAGTTTGTCTTTATGCTGCTTCTGAAGGACGGAGCCGCCCACGAAATGAAGCAAGGATCGCAGAACCAAAAGAGGCGTTTGCAGAACTCAGAATGCATTAATTGTGCGACGGAGACGACCGCTGCTTTTCAAAAATATTATAAATTAACTCAGTTTAGCTTTTAATGTGGTTAAATATGTTTTAATTAAATGCAGAGTCGCTGTGCATCATCATCAATCATGACTCGCCTGTTTAAATAAGTTTCTTTCGGCTGCTCCCTTCTGCAGGAGTTGCCACAGCGAGCGAGCTCGCACGAAAGATTTGTCATTTGCTTTACGCCGCATGCTCTTCCTGATGCAACCTGGGCTCGAACCTGCAACCTTGGGATTACAAGACTGCGGCACTGACCACCGCACTACCACAGCTCTCATTAATAAAACTGTTTGTTTATTCCCACGACCGCGTAGTCGCACAGATCAGATTCTATTACTTTGTTGTGTTATTGAGCTTACCTTTTTATTTTCGGCTCTGTTTCTACGTCGCTTCGCAGCACAAAAGCGTATCAGGGTGGCCAACAAAATTTCAGTCAGGAAGTCCCAGCTTGAAGTGTTTTGTGAAAGTTCCTTCTGTCTCTTTCTGTCTGTAGCTCTCATCAACCTGCTGAAGTTCCTGCTGTCGAATGAAACCAGCCTGCTGGCCAAACACAACATCTTCCAGCTGGTCTTACTGGTGAGAAATGCAGACGATATTGGGGCATTTATCAATGGAAAATGCATAAATATTTTTTTTATTATGAAGAAGACACGTTTTATTAGACCTGTTCTGTATGCAGATTGACGTTAAAAATCACATATGCTGAACATTTTACTTAAAAGTATTCATAAAGTTTCTGTATGGATGTAATTATTAGAACTCCTGTTTTATTGTTGTTTGCTGTTTGACACGTTGGTCACTTCAGCATTGTGTGTGTTTTTCCAGATTGTGAACCTGTTCAACATGTTTATAACCTACGGCGACACGTTCCTGCCCACCTCCAACAGCTACGATGAGTTGTATTATGAAATAGTTCGAATGCACCAGGTCTTTGACAACCTCTACTGTATGGGTATGTTTCAGACACTTTTTACGATAAAGGTTATGAAGAGTTATTGTCCTACCTGTTGTAGATAGCTATTTAAACAATTTTAGTTTGGAGAAATGGTTTCATTCTAACCAGGCTAATGTGTTAATGGTTAGTACAAACATGGACATCACAGTACCAGAACAGATTAAAAGCCCCGCCCCCTTCATGTCAACAAACGAGACATTGCTCTCTTTAAAAATAAAACAACGCACCTCAGATAAAGTTTTCAAGTGCTGACTCTTGTTGATTCTCGTTCTTTCCTTGCTGCTGAATGTTCAAACATTACATTTTCTAACACATTTAGCTTTATTTAAATATTTCATGCTTTAAAGAAAGTTCATGTGGCATGATTGTGTGTGGGGGAGTATGCAGGACTTAAAGCTCAGCTTCACTAGTGTGCAGACATAGATTTGGGAAAATACAGCATGGCAGCTCTGTAAAAATACAGCATGGCAGCTCTGTAAAAATACAGCATGGCAGCTCAGTAAAAATACAGCGTGGCAGCTCAGTAAAAATACAGCGTGGCAGCTCAGTAAAAATACAGCATGGCTGCTTCTGTAAAAATACAGCATGGCAGCTCTGTAAAAATACAGCATGGCAGCTCAGTAAAAATACAGCATGGCTGCTTCTGTAAAAATACAGCGTGGCAGCTCAGTAAAAATACAGCATGGCTGCTTCTGTAAAAATACAGCGTGGCAGCTCTGTAAAAATACAGCATGGCTGCTTCTGTAAAAATACAGCATGGCAGCTCTGTAAAAATACAGCATGGCTGCTTCTGTAAAAATACAGCGTGGCTGCTCCTGTAAAAATACAGCATGGCAGCTTCTGTAAAAATACAGCATGGCAGCTTCTGTAAAAATACAGCATGGCTGCTTCTGTAAAAATACAGCATGGCAGCTCTGTAAAAATACAGCATGGCTGCTCTGTAAAAATACAGCATGGCAGCTCTGTAAAAATACAGCATGGCAGCTCTGTAAAAATACAGCGTGGCAGCTCCTGTAAAAATACAGCGTGGCAGCTCTCTAAAAATACAGCATGGCAGCTCTGTAAAAATACAGCATGGCAGCTCTGTAAAAATACAGCATGGCAGCTCCTGTAAAAATACAGCATGGCAGCTCTGTAAAAATACAGCATGGCAGCTCCTGTAAAACGGGTCCTGCTGGCGTTGGGTCCCAACAATGAGAGAATGCAGGAGCATCGAGCATATCAGTATTATTTGAACATCATTTTCTGCCAGAATAACCATGTAATGTGAAACTGATGAAGATGTTTTATAAAATAATGTTCACATAGAGATTGGTGGTGTTTTTAGTTGGCTGCCATCTACTTTGTTCTTCGTCCTGCTTGGACTAGCTCTTCGCATGTCAGTGTAGTCAGCATTAAACTTTAATTATTCCAAACAGAGACATTTCAAAGATCTATCTACAAACAGAGATATTAATTAGTCATAGCTTCCCACAAAATGCTCATTTCAAAAAGTCTGAACTGTAAACTGAGGCTGTCTGAGACTAAAAACCTTAATTTATGAATGTTTCAAATAAAATTTGAACTAGTTAGCTGGTGATCAATACGTTGCTTATGTTATTTAGAGAACATTTGCATCAAAATGTATTTTTACAAATACAAGAAAATTGAAAAAATGTTTTGCATTCTGTTTATTTCTGTCGATTTTTTTTTCCTTCTTTCCTACAGTTTTGAGAGTGTCCACTAATGCAGGCCAGTGGAAGGAGCCAGCCAGCAAAGTCACACACTCCCTTGTCAATATTCGGTAATAAAATACTTTTGTTTTTCTTTACAAAAATGCTGTATTTATTTATTTATGTATTTATTTAGTTTACAAAACATTGACACGTTGTTTTTTAATGGAATGTTAAACAGGGGTAAGATATAAAAATGTAAAAAAATCACATTTTTGGTTGCAAATTTAACTTCTTTATTTCGAAAACTGCACCATACATACCAAGTTTTAGTATTTTATTTTCCTTGTTTTTAACAGATTCACTCTAATATATTTGTTCCTCCATTATTTCTAAAGAAAAGATGTTTTTAGGTCCCAGTTTTTACAGAAAACTCTCAAACTCTAATCGCCTGCTGGATTGAGGCGCTCCTTTGCTCTGTTTGTCTGAATGTTTGATGGAAAGGCTGGAAGTAAAAAGTAGAAAGGAATGGTGTTTGATTAATGAATACATTAAGCTCGTTGAACCCAGCGAGACATTAAAATGAACATAAATGAAGGGAATGATTCCATTGTCTTCCCACTTCCTCGCTCCTCTGAAGGCTGTTTCTTCACTGAAGAGTTCTAACCGTAGATAAATCTGTGCATTTTTGTCACACTGATCTGTTTAAAAATGAAGCCAATACAAAATAAGCAAATTACGGTAATCTCTCAGTTGAGCTTATTGCATTCACTTGTATTCAAACTCTACAGCAGTTTATTTTAGAATCGAATACCATCGCTGAAGAGGATTGCCTCTGAATTTACATGAAATTCTCTGCTGGAGGGAGACGCTACGATGGAGCTGAAGATACACGAGTTGTGGTGCTAACCAGCTGACTGCTGCTGCATTTTCTCTGAACTTATTGTTCAGGTGAACACATCTAAACCTTTCAGCAGCCTAATCTCTTAATTTACTCAGGTGCACCATCTTTTTCAAAGTATATTTTAGCACTTTATATTTATTGTGTGAATGTTTATGAAGCATTCACACTGTTGTGATCTATTTTTCTTTCTTACGTTTTTCGGCATGTTTCTCGTTCCACAATTTTTGTGCTGTTTCAACAAATCATATATCAAATCATTTAGCGTGTTCAGGACAATCTTGTTACGACTTTAGGCATTTGTGCAACTTTAGCTTTTTGAAATATTTAGCCTTTTCTGTCATTTTTTTCCCCTCATAGGAAATAAATTGAGCTCATTTTACATCCTTCAAATCTTTAGATCTGTTTACAACCTTTTACTGCTCCTTTCACATTTTGTTCTTTCAGCTTCCTTGTGCAAATTTAAACATTTTTGCAGCTACTTTCAGCTCATTTTAGCTGTTTTTTTCAGTAGTTTTGTGCTCGTTTCAGATTCGTTCTGCTTGCTGCATCATTTTTGTGCTTCTTCTAACTTCTTTCTTCTAATTTCAGCTTATTAGGCTCCTTTCAGTTAATCTTTGCAAGTTTCAGCCTTTTCTGTTATTGTAGCTACTATTTAGCTGTTTTTATGTTAATTTTAGCCTTTTCAGCTAATTCCACAGTTTTTGCACGCATTTCACATTTTTCAGCCCAGTTCAGCAGAAATATGCTCTCTCCACTTCCTTCAGGTAATTTAAGCTTCTTTCTGCTTTTCAGCAACTTTTCAGCCGCTTCTTTTTGCTAATTTTGGCTTTTTTCAGATAATTTCCACTTTTTGTGCCCTTTTCCGCTTCTTTCATTCTAATTGGGTAAATGTGTTCTTTCTGCTTTCTTCTGCTAATTTAAGCTTGTTCTACCTTTTCAGCTAGCATTTTAAGAGTTTTTAGCTAATTTCGGCTGCTTTTTAGTAATTTCAAGTTTTTCGTGGTGATTTCTGCTATTTTCAGCCTAATTAACTTATTTATGCTAATTTCAGCTTGTTTTGCTCCTTTCAGCTTTTTTGCTCCTTTCAGTTTTTTTTTTGCTATTTCAGCTAGTATTTAGCCGTTTTGTGCTAATTTTAGCTTTTACAGCTAATTGCACATTTTTTAGCTCATTTTACAGCTTTCCACTTCTTTCTGATAGTTTAAGCTTCTTTCTGACTTCAGCTATTTTTTCTAATTTCAGCTTTTTAAAGCTAAATTCCCATTTTTTTTGTGCTAATTTCGGCTTATTTAAACCTATTCAGCAAATATGTGTTCTTTCTCGTTTCTTCTACTAAGTTAGGCTTATTCTTCCATTTCAGCTACATTTCATCATGTTTTTTTTTTAGCTAATTTCTGCTGTTTTTCAGCATTATTCTGCAATAAGCATTCGCACTGCATTTTCAAAAGAAATGCAATTTCTCTAGTTTGTTTTATATTTTGTTTTGTTTGTTTGTTTTCCATTCTTAGCCCCCCAATAATTGTTTTCACTTTTAGACTTATTTAGTCAAAATCTTTGTTACCTGGATTGTCCCCATTTGTCCATCCATAAGTTGTCCATGTCCACTCCACGAATGTTTAGGATAGAAAATGTCAGCAGACCATGGCTCCACATTGGATCTTATTTTTATTTAGACCACTTCCACCAATAAAATCTTGAGTGATTTTGGTGAAGTCTGATTTTGATCATAAAATGATTTGGATCAGCTGTTGGTCATCAACAGGCAAGTTCTTCACATTGCAATTGTTTAATTTGACTGTTTGTTGATTTACACCATGGATGACAACATTATCAGTGAAACTGACCTTTCACCCCACCACAGTCATGCATTTACTTAATAGACACAAATTCAGGATTGTTCTGTGAGGGAATTCATGCTTTGGGTTTTGAATCTTACGACAACAATTTCCTGACGGTGTACTATGTACCGTTGGCATCTTCTTCAGCTTGTCAATCTGCTCTGACATCTTTAGGCGTTTGCTCAAACATAATTTTCTTCTTTCGGCTGTTCCCTCTTCAGGGGTCGCCAGAGCAAGTCATCCTCCGCTGTTTCACTCTGTCCTCATTCCAACTACCTCCATGTCCTCCCTAACTGCATCCATATATTTCCTCTTTGTCTTTTTCTTGGCCGCTGCATTTCTAACATCCTTCTACCAATATACCCACTGTCCCTCCTCTGGACATGTCCACACCATCTCAGTCTGGCCTCTCTAACTTTATCTCCCAGTTGTTCAACCTGTGCTGTATCTCTGATGATCTAATTCCTAACCTTATCCATCCGTGTCACTCCTAAGGAGAACCCCAACATCTTCATGTTGGGGCAGCTCTGGCTGAGTGGTTAGAGCGGTCATATTTTAGTGGGAGAGTTGGGGGTTTGAGTCCACCAGCAGTCACACATGTTGAAGTGTCCCTGGGCAAAACACTAAATCCCTTATTGCCTCTGATGTGTATCCCATCAGTGTATGAATGTGATCTAAAGCTCTGATTTGTCTCTACAGATTCAGATTAGCTTTGAAGAGGATGTAGTAGAGTGTGAATGTGTGTGAGGAGGTAAATGAGGGCACAGATTGTGTTGTAAAGCTCTTTAGATAGAATGGCGCTTTACAAGTACAGTCCATTTACCGTTTACCATTCATTTGTGCCCCTTCCAATTCTGTCTTTTTGTTCTTGTCTCTGTCTCCAGACCATACAACATAGCTGGTCTCACAACTGTCTTGTAAACTTTTCCTTTGACTTTTGCTGACACCCTTTTGTCGCAAATCACGCCTGAAACTTTTCTCCATCAATTCCATCCTTCCTGAACTCTCTTTTACCCTCTTTACCACACTCCCTCCCTCTTTTCCTGGACAGTTGACCCCAAATCCTTGGAAGTCCTGCACCTTTGTGACCTCTGCTCCTTGTAATCTCATTGCTCCACCAGCCTCCCTCTCATTCACACACGTACTCTGTCTTACTACGGCTGACTTTCATTCCTGTTCTTTCAAGTGCATACCTCCACCTCTCCAAGTTCTCTTCCACCTGTTCCCTGTTCTCACCACAGATTACAGTCATCTGCAAACATCATAGTCCACGGGGATTCCTGCCTGACCTCATCTAGTAGAGCGAACAAGATTCTGCGCAAACAAAATCAGACACTCAAAAGCTGCAATATTAAACAAAAAATAAATAAGTGTATGAATACATTGATCACATTTAAGAGGTACAAATTAGTCACCGAGCTTATAATGGATGAATATACACATACTACCATTGAAAGTTTGGTAAATATATAAATGTAACATTTCAAAATGTCTTTTGCTTTTGTTTTTTTAGGGCCATTATCAACCATTTCAATCCCAAAATTGAGTCGTATGCTGCTGTGAACCACATCTCCCAGCTCTCAGAAGAACAGGTAAACACAACACTCCTCACTTCTTTCTGCACGCGGAGTAAATGTGGCATGTGGGTAGAAATAAACCGCAGCCATGACTTCAGGCTGCTTGAGCTCAACTCCCATGAAAACCAACGTCGGCTTTTCAAAAGCAGGTCTCGTGAGTTTTGTAATGAACCACATAAAATGCTCTTTGGGAGTGTCTGAGACTAGATTCTATATGTTTTAATTTAAAAGACTGACTAATCTTTCAGTAGTTATAGATGTTTGATGGTAATAAACGACTCACACTCTGGTCATGATGATGAAACACCTGGATGAAGGTTACATTAATGAGTCTAAAACGCATGCTGCACACAGCTCAAGATATTTTAACCATCATAGAGAAACTGAGAGCCTTTCAAAAACATCCCCAGTGGTCATTTCTTACAGAGCTTTTGAAGGAAACATAAAAAGCTATCTCGAGCTATTGTGACTTTTTTTTTTTTTTTTGCATTTCTTTATACCATATTTATTCCTTTTAAAAGTTTTATCTGTTGCTGCTTTCTTGGAAATGGTCACATTCCACATGATCCCACCAGCTTTCAAACACATAAACATCAAAAGAGCCGAGTCGTTAAAAGAAAAAACAGCTCGTTATTGTTGGTAAAGTTTTAAGAGAAGAAGCTGAATGGCTATACGAGCTCCATTTAGGATTTTTTTTTTTATCATTTATGCTCAGTGTGTGAGGATTAGAGCTTCCCAGAGAATGCCTTTCAAGCTGATAGGAGAGTAACGGATATGGTCATTACGCTCCCCAATTACCTCTTTGCGTTTATCTACTAGATTTATTCACAACCAGGAGAAACAGCAGAAGTTGGCTATGGTTTCTGTGAGTTCCTGGTGTTTTTATATTGTTCTTGACTTGGTGATAAACATCCACTCCTTATCAGATAAATCAAGGTAGATAACATCATTTAAATTTGTCATTTTTTCAACCTGTGTGGCAGGTTTATTAAATATAAAGAAATGATGAGTTTTCTTTTTTGTTGCCAAATAGTCCTCACAGAGACACCAAGTCACAACTTCCATTTTTGGTGTGTGGTCGCATCTACGCATAGAAAAGATTCTTTTCAAAAATTGGGCGTCCATGTCTAAATCCAAGATGGCTACCACCATATGTATATATGTGTGTGTACGTATGTAAACCGGTCACCCCTATTCTTTCCAGTTGATAAATTGCTTAAAAGTATAGTTTTCTCAAAAGATTGAGGTGGCCAAAAATTAATCAGTGGTGGCCGAGGCCACCATTGGCCACCCCATGGCTCCACCATTGCACCTGGTGGTGAACGCATTGCTCCCTCTGCTCACCAGTAATTGTCGCTCTGCGCTGCCTTAGACAAGAAAATAAACACTCATCTCGTAAACTACAAATGTTCACTCCTCGAATCCTTCAGCGACAGAGCACATCGGCATATCGCTTGATTTTTATTTATTTTGTTGAAGCAAAATACCTTTGTGGGTTACAAAACATTAGGCTGCTTTTTTCAAGTCTGTGCTTCTAAAACATGCCAAAAACTTTTTTAATATTCACTTTATGTATTTATTGCTTCAACCAGCTTGTCCGGCTATCAAACACACATGAATCCACTTTGAGCTGTGTCTTATTAGCTCTTCCCTGCCTGGACTGCGTTGTTTTTTTTTTATCAAACTGTGTGTTCTATAAAGGCAACCTGCTGTTGATAATAATAATAATTAAACAGTTGTTGTTAAAAGACAACAGAAAATGGACCAGATGAGGAGAAGATAAAGAAAGAAAAAGCATTGTTGCGGACAAAACTCTTAATGATGACAACAGTTAGCGGCTCGGAGGGGAGCCGGATGCTAAGCATTAGAGCACTCTGCATGATCCCTCATGAATAAAATGAGTCAATAAATTATTTTAAATCAATTAATAATTCATTATTATCACTGTTCAAGCGTTCACGCTAAGATGCAATAATAAATTATGATGTAAAAGACGGCTGGGCCTAATTACCGTCCGCTGCTGGAGGAAACGGTGGACAATGGCTCTTCAACCCAGGTCAACATGGCCGCCATGGCCACCTGATTTTAGCTGACTGACCTTTAGAGAGAACACAATCCAAGATGGCCTAGGTCAACTGCCCTTAAAAAACAAACGATTGTCTATAGGTCTAAATTTTACGGATACTGGGCTGACACTCAGAGCGGGACGTCGTGCACAAAATCATACATGTCATTTTTTTTAAATGTTTCAACGAGCGCAGCCACATTTCTCATCTCCAGATGATTGGAGGTTAGAACTCGAGTGTCGGGCGACAAACGTTCTTTCAGGAAAGTCAGGCCTTAACTTCATGACCTGTTTTCTGGTTTGGTTCAGGTTTTGGAAGTGGTGCGGTCCAACTACGACACGCTGACCCTCAAACTGCAGGACGGTCTGGACCAGTATGAGAGATACTCAGAGCAGCCGAAAGAAGCTGCTTTCTTCAAGGATCTGGTAAGAGAAGCCGAAAGCTGAAGATGAAGCCTGAGTGTTGAAGAACCACTGAACTGAATATTAAAAGTTAAAACAAGCAAGACAGGAGCTAAAATCAGAAAACTGTAGCTGAAAGCTAAAATCAGAAAACTGAAGCTGAAAGCTAAAATCAGAAAACTGAAGCTGAAAGCTAACATCTGAAAACTATAGCTAGAAGCTAAAATCAGAAAACTGTAGCTGGAAGCTAAAATCAGAAAACTGTA